AATTTAGTTGTCTCGCTATCCTTAGAACATTTCATTAAATGGGCTTGAATTACTTTCATTCTGTTTTCAACATCTCTTTAGAAATTCTCTTGCAAATTTTTATTGGTATGCCCATCCAACCATTTCTTACAATCTCTATCGAAATTCTGCATCTTTTGAAAGCATGTGCATATGTACGCAAGGTAGGTAGCTTTGGCTTCGTGTTTATCAACAAACTCTTTTATTAGTATTCTGGCAATATCCGATCTGAGTGGATAGCCACTTGATTCGAATTCCCACAAACAGCAATATATGGTCATTATCTCTTCAGCAACATTTATCAATAATTTGAATTTCCCTGTACTACTGGCTTGAACTAAAGTTGTATATGGCACATAATATTCATTACTAGTCATTTCGTATTCATCCAAATACTTGTCAATAAATTGTATAAACCTTTTCGAAAGGTTACTTGGATCTTAAAAAGTTCTATTAAAAGCTTTCTGGATGATTTCCTTATCTTTCTCACTTCTAGGATGATATAACGACTCTAATATAGAATATACAAGAAATAATTAAACTTGCTTAAAAATTGCTAATAGAATAATATTATTCGTAATCAGCTTACTTGACAGTTCATTCGCTTTTCCTAAGTAGTAACAAGATAAGATTGCATTAATTCGGATTATTTGTGATTAGCTAGTGACTGAATATCATACCTTTTTTTACATCAGATATCCTAACTAGATTATCAATCGAACATTTATGTTGTTTAAGGAAGTCAATAATTTGCGATTTTGTCCAGCCAAAATTTATTTTTTCATCACCAATAATAAACTCATAATCTTTCAATGAACTCTCGAGACTGATACAATTTTTCAAATGGTTATATATTTGACCAAAATCCTCCTAAGAGCCAGAACCAAGATAATAGACTTGCGAATCAGTATAGTACTGAAAATATAAGGGGGCTAAAAACAAAATTGTAAATTAATAAATGTAAGCAATATACCAAACATTCATGATATCACAATATAATGAAGCGAGAAAATAGTAATAAGAGTTATTCATAATGCTTACCTT